GGACACACTAACCCCCTCCCCTGTTTAGCATTTTGATTAAACCAAGCAGATAAACAAGGAAAAACCGCGAAAAACAAAGGGAATGAAAGTCATTGCATTATCACTCACCAGAAGATGTAAAGGCGGGGCTAGGGAGCTATTGCTCGATCTTGTAAACCCATCTAGTTGAGTACTTACTACCTGTTCTTAACAAGTAAGCGTCATCATAATTTTTAAAAATCACATTATTCTAAATAATGTTTTCTAAAAGGAGAGAAAAATCAATTACCGAGTAAAAGTTCCTTGAAGAAACTCGGTCGAATTTTAACTTTAATTTGTAAAGACCATGAGAACGTAGGTAACTTTTAAACCCCAAGCATTTCTATGCCAAACAGTACAAAATAAAATTTTATGGGGTACAACATTCCATTTTTGTCCGGTGGACCAATAGTTCCTGTATATTATCACTTACTGCTGATGGGTTAAATGATTAAAGGAATCCTAAAATGTAACTGTTCTGTTTTCGCCATAATAATAATTAGTATTATTAAATATAATAAATATTATTAATACAAATTAAATAATAATAATAATAATAATCAGTATTATATATAATAATAATAATAATAATAATAATAATACTATTATTATTATTATTATTATACTTGTCAAGGTCAATGACAGCATTTTCCAACACACACTAAAAATATGAATTTACAACGTTTAGTGTTAACAACTGATTATCAAATGTTTCCTTGTCTCAATTACGAATTGTTTATAAGCTTGCGCGCGCGCGCACACACACACACACACACACACACACACACACACACACACACACACACACACACACACACACATATACACATATACGGCCGAGTGGACAGCGCTCGGGGGTTGTAATCCTAAGGGACCCGGGTTCAATTTCGCGGTAGAAGCAGAAACAAATAGGCAGAGTTCCTCTCACCTGACGCAAACTGTCAAAAATCACTAACGAAAAGCATGCCGGAAACGTTCCAACCCGTCCTCACAATAGAATGTCCAATTTTGACGTATAGTCTACCTAAGGTAAAAAAAAAATCGTCGTACTAGAAAATGGTAGCAGCTCCCGAAATTGACATTCTGTCCCTTTTTCGGTTTTGGGTCCTCTGGTAGGTTAGGATAAGGACACTAGTAGGACAGTTTCTTGACGTTGGGACACCTTAGGAGGACAGGTTGAACGCTCTGTGTATTAGTTGCTTCAAAGAATGACATGTGTACCTATGAATACTTCTATGAATACAGAAGACAATCTTCTGTAAAAAGTTTCAACAGCATTTTATGTAAATAAACATTATCGTATAACTGTTTGAAAGAACCATTATACATTGAATTGAAATTGAAATTGAAATAAGTTTATTGAGGTAAAATACACACAAAGGGATGAGGTAGCTCAAGCTATTCTCACCCCGTTCAGTACATGGTGTTAATACATACATAGACACACAAGCATTATACATGTGAAGCGGCCGTGCGAGGAGGGCATCAGGTTGAGGGAGACAAGAGCCGTTACGAGACTAGGCTGCCGAGCGAAGGTTCTCACGCTGGGACCCCCTCTGGTGTGGGCGTCCACCAACACACTCTTATTCATGGGTGTGACGCATCACCACCCACACACACACCCCTCCTCCCCTCACACACACACACACACACACACACATGTGATGTGTGAGGGGAAACTATGTAGCAGATATAAGTTAGCAGAACCTATAACCTAGGTCGGGAGTCAGTACATCAGGCAACCTACCGTTAGAAAGAGCTAACAGCTCATTCCTGCGGGCACAAATAGTAAATACATACACACACAATTTCTTACAAGTTTCGGTAACCCATAACATTGAGAGGGAGCCCCAGTGTGTTGTTATGAGAGAGAGAGACAGCTCAAGCCTAGTGGCGATCACTTGTCGTTCACGGGGCGAAAATGTCAACAAAAGATCCCGGGTCGCTATTTCAACGTTCAAACGTTTATTCAACAAAAAGTCGTAATCTAAGAATGTTTCGTTTTCTTTAGTGATCTTCGTCGAGAGTACTAATCTTGTTTTATTTTTGATAAATATTATCCTTCCTGTCACGTTATCAATGCTATTCGATCTTGTTAGAATGTACCGCCAAAGATACACAATATTGGAACAATATATATATACAATAAAATACTTGTTTCCTATTAACCTAACTCGCTAAAAATATAAACTACATGCTTTCATGTATATAAGGAAAATAACGTTCAAGAATGAATCACACGAAATATTTTGTTCTTTATCAAACAAATATACACACACGCGAAAGATATATATACCAAGAGATTTACTTCGCTCCTCGCTGTATATACACTGCGAGTCTACTTTAGTCCTGGACAATGTTCAAGACTAAAGACAGACTAAAGACTAAAGACAATTCCTTGTGTTGACAATGTGTGTATGTACTTACCTAATTGCCTAATTGTACTTACCTAATTGTGCTTGCGGGGAGGAAGGGGGGGGGGGGGGAAGGGGTTGAGCTCTGGCTCTTTGGTCCCGCCTCTCAACCGTCAATCAACAGGTGTACAGGTTCCTGAGGTATACTTGCTGGTTGGTCAGTAAGCTGTTGTGGTGGCCCAAATAACCCTCCAGGGGTTAACGGGCTTCAGCACTAAGCCAAAACATACTCATACATTAGAAAGAATTATTTCAGTGTCAGAGTAGTCAACAAATGGAATACATCATGAAGCTCGGTGCTAGAGGCAAGACTCTATACAAAGTTTCCAATTTAGATATGATAGAGCTGTTGATACACCAGTTGATTGGGTATTGACAGAAGGGGACCAAAGAGCCGAAGTTCAACCCCCGGAAGCACAACTAGATAAGTATACACACACACGCAGGAGTGGAATTTGATATGTCTATGTTTGCAGATGATGCAAAATTAACGAGAGGAGTCTAGGCAGATTAAAATTGTAACATAATCTAAGATGACAGTCAAATTGTAGACTTGGTCTGAGAAAAGGCTATTAGAGTTCAACACAAGCAAGTGTAAGGTGATAGAAATGGGAACAGGTTACTGGAGACCAGAAGAACGATACACAATAAAGGGTAACTAATGGGATGATAATGAATGATGATGATTGACAATAATAATAATAATAATAATAATAATAATAATAATAATAATAATAATAATAATAATAATGATAATAATAATCAAATCCGTAGGAGCCGTGATGAGGGTTCGAATCCATGCGCTGGGTGTTCCCAAGCACACGCTCTAGTCAACTATACCACGACCTGGCAATAGGAATTCTGGAGGGTGCAGTAGTACCCCCAGGTTGCAATCCTTTTGACCATGTTGTGGCATAGTTGTCTAGACCGTGTGCGTGAGAACACCCCACGCGTAGGTTCGAACCCTCATTACACTCTCGGTGTAATAATAATAATGATTATTGACGATGATGATGATGATGATAATGATGATCATCATGATAATAATGATAGGCCCACACCTCTTGGAGGACGCTACCTGGAGGTGTGGGTCGACGCTACCATGTGGGAGGTCGTCTAATGGCGCCTGCTTCACTATCACACTTAATACACTTTATGAAACAAGTGTTTTATTTACACCCCGCGGGTGTTGTCAGCGGGGGGGGGGGGGGATGATGTTGCCGGAGGGGGTGAATGGGGGGGGGGGCAGAAAGGCAGGACAAAGGGGTGGGGGCGCGCAAAAACAGCTGACCATTATCGCGGCTAAACGTCTTTTGACATTAGCTGAAAAGGAGTTAAATTAACGTAGGGGTGATGCTGGGAGTTAACGTTGGTGGGGTAGGGGGGGGGGAAACAAGAAAAATACTTGTTTTCTTGTCGTTTTCGAAAGAGAGCACTTTCGTGTACTTTCGACGATGTGTTGATTTAGACGGAAGCGCTCAAGTAATTTCATCTTATTTTTCCATTTATGGATATACGTTTTCATATTGTTTACTTGTTAATGTCTTCGGGATATAAACACACACACACACACACACCGTACATTGGGCCCCCTCTGTTTCACCCTGATGCACCTGTTCACCTAGCAGTAAATAGGTACCTGCAAGTTGGACAGCTGCTACGGACTGCTTCTTGGGGATGTGTGTGCGTGCGTGCGTGCGTGCGTGTGTGTGTGTGTGTGTGTGTGTGTGTGTACTCACCTATTTGTACTCACCTATTTGTGCTTGCGGGGGTTGAGCTCTGGCTCTTTGGTCCCGCCTCTCAACTGTCAATCAACAGGTGTACAGGTTCCTGAGCCTATTGGGCTCTATCATATCTACACTTGAAACTGTGTATGGAGTCAGCCTCCACCACATCACTTCCTAGTGCATTCCATTTGTCAACCACTCTGACACTGAAAAAATTCTTTCTAACGTCTCTATGGCTCATTTGGGCACTCAATTTCCACCTGTGTCCCCTAGTGCGTGTGCCCCTTGTGTTAAAAAGTCTGTCTTTATCTACCCTATTAATTCCTCAGAACATTGCAGAATACAAATTAACATAAAATCGCACTAAAATTATAGATATATTAAAAAAATGACCTCATGCGACAAGCAGAGAAGTGAGTAAGGTAAGGTTTTTTTCAGGATAAAGCGCTAAGCCACTGCCCACTCCAAGGCAGTACAAGAGAACAAGGTTGAGGCAGTTAGTGTGAATGACGTATCGTGCAACAGGTTACAAGGAGACAAGGACGAGGAGACCTTATAAGTCAACACTTGTCTTCAGGAAGGGGATAGGGAAATCAATGACAAGTCGGTTCGAGCTCCAGCTCTTGGCCTCAAGCATTGTGGTTGTCTTGGCCGCAGGAGGAGGCTAAGGGGCTGTATTTGGTTTCTACTCCCCAAGCTCGGCCTGGCTTGTCTTGTGATGCTGTAGCTTGATCCACAAGGCTGTTGCTTGGAGCTTCCTGCAGGCCTACATATCCATAAGCTAAGTGGTAGGCCTAGGTGTAAATATAATAAGCGAGAGAAGGAAGGTAGGCCTACTTACCGTACACTTGTTGGGCTTCTCGCCTGAGTGGACCCGCATGTGGATGAGGAGCTTGTAGCGGGCGTTGAAGGGTCGGTAGCGGCGCTGACACGCCGCCCAGAAGCAGGTGAAGTCGTCGCCCTTCCTCTGGTCGATGTGCGCCTTCTCGATGTGTCGTGAGAGCGTCTCCCGGCAGGAGAAGAGCACGTTACAGTCCACCCAGCGGCAGTAGCGGGGCCCGTCGTCCTCCAGGGGGCTGCCCGGCCGCCCGTCCTCACCCTCCTGCTGCTGCTGCTGCTCCAGGTAGGGCGGCGACGCCTGCTGCTGCTGCTGCTGCTCCTCCGGCTCACACTTGGGCTCCACCTTGTAGTAGTGGAGGTTGTTGTTGTTCTTGACCACGTCGTCGTCGCCGACCAGCGTCTGGAAGGAGAGGTTGGCGCGGTGTGGCAGGTTGTTGTTGTTGGCCTCCGGGCGGGGGATGATGTGGCCGTAACTCCCTCCTGACGGGGAGCACGGCACCGGCGCCGCGCTGCCCGTCGGGGACCCGCCGCTCAGACACGTCGGCGACGACCTGATGATCGTGTTCAGGTCCACGCCGTCCACGTTCATCGGCGAGGTCGAGTATGGCCGCTTGTTCCGTCGGGTCGAACTGAACGACCCTCGAGTCGAGGCGAACGGCGAGGGCAGCGACGACCCGCCGGGGGAGACACTCATAGGCGACGCTGAACACCGGCTGCCTCCGAGGTACAACTCGAGTCCCTCGCTGGAGGGCAGGTCGAGGAGGTCCGTGGAGGGCGCGGGGGTCGGCATGGGGCTGGAGAAGATAGGGGCATCAGGAGGACGCGGGTCTGTGATGACCAGCTCCGGGAGCGAGGAGCCCCCCGGCAGCGCCGTCAGCAGGTTCTCTAGTGAGGGCGGCCACTCGTCCCCCGCCAGGTACAGGTCACCGTGTAGTTCCCCAAGAGCCGTCATGGCCGTCGACAGCTGCGACGTCGGGCCCGCGTTGGACTCCCGGGGCGCCTCCACGCTGATGGTGGGAGGGGAGAACGCCGCAGACGGCCCCATGGGAGACCCAGCGTGGGAGGTGTCTCCCAGAGGGCTGATGAGGCCGCCCAGGTCACACGAGGTCAGCTCCGAGGGCACGAGGGGCTCCGGTGACCCCGCCTGACTGCTGCTGTAGTCCTCCAGGTGCATCCTTCCTCCTCCTGTAACAACACAACTACTTCATTAACAAAGTACTTAACGACTCCGTTCTCAGAGTGACAAAATGATTACTAAATTTCCTTTGCAAAAAATATCCAACATTACAGTGTTGGATATTTAAAAAAAAATAAAAAGTAACAAAGCTTCCGAATAATCTGTATATTCTCTTCAATTGTTATTTTTCTGTTTGAGTACAAGAATGTGATACACACATACACATATACCCAGGGACGTATGTGATACACATACGTCCCTGTATCCCTGTGATACAGGGACGTATATACACCGAGAGGGGTGTATTCTGTTGACTTTAGTTCTGGATAATGTTTAAGGATAAAGTTTACTTGATGGTTGGTCAGTAAGTTGTTCTGGCGGCCTTAATAACCCCTAATAGGTTGATAAACATTAATAACCCCTCCAAGAGGTGGAAAGGTCTATATAACCCTCCCGAGGTTGATAGGCCTTAATAACCCCTCCTGACTTGAAAAGGCCTTTATAACTCCTCTTGAGGTTAGTAGGCCTTAATAACCCTTTAGAGACTGGCAGGTCTTTATAACCCTCTAGCGGTGATAAGGCCTTAATAACCCCTCCAGAGCTTAATAGGCCTTAATAACCCCTCCAGAGTTTAATAGGCCTTAATAACCTCTCCAGAGCTTAATAGGCCTGAATAACCCCTCCAGAGGCTAATTGGCCTTAATAACCCTTTAGAGAGTAACAGGCCTTCAGCCAAACACCAATCCGCAGAATAGGACTTCAAATACAACATATGTATCACACAAATGGATCAAGTCGATTCCAAAGGATCCAACACCCCTATACTTGTCATTCACAACCCTTACATTAATCCTAGCCAAAAAGTAATCCAACTCCAATTGACTGCATGAACAGCATGCAGGAAATACGAATATAACCTTCACCCTAAGTTCCAATTTTGACCCCACAATGCATGATTAATTGGCTTGAAACCGGTTAGTTGGTATATAATGAAACCGGTTAGTTGGTATATAATGAAACCGGTTAGTTGGTATATAATGAAACCGGTTAGTTGGTATATAATGAAACCGGTTAGTTGGTATATAACGAAACCGGTTAATTAATGTACCCTATAACCAGTTAGCCACGAACTAGTTCGAGCTATTAAGTATATATCTCCCTTCCTTTCTGATCTCACTGTTATATAATTATGACCCAGCTTTTTCCCACTAGCTTCTAGTACTGCTCATTACTAGCACAACTGCCACCACCTCTCCTATGACTACTATTACATGCTCACCTGCTAGTACTTCCACAACTACTAGCACCTACGTGTCACGGCCACTGTGTACTGGTTGTGAGTGTGTTGTAGTAAATATTTATACAATTATCAGCAGCCATTCTTATTCCTGCTTCAGATAATTTACACAGTTGACATAACAGGTAATTTAATAGCTAGGTTTACTATAAACAACAGGCAGGTTTACTATAAACAAGTCAGGTTTACTATAAACAAGTCAGGTTTACTATAAACAATAGCCACGCAGGTTTACTATTAACAATAGCCACGCAGGTGTACTGTAAACAATACACAGGTTTACTAATCAACGCCCCAAACAATTCGTGTACAGAACATCAATTTGAAGCCTAGGAAGCAAAACAAATAAAAAAAAAAAATATATATATATATATATATATATATATATATATATATATATATATATATATATATATATATATATATATATATATATATAAATCCCCAAAGTTGTAAAGAAAAACGGGAGTCAAATTCTATTTTAATTAGATAAATTTACAAATGCTAACACCAGCTGAACCTTGTACCAGGTTTGCTCTCTACCCAACACAATCAATCATTTAGAATTGTGTAGCATTTACAATGAATGAAATTATTAACAGTGTTTTTAAATCTATTGAAGTGTTGATATGGAGAATAATAGTAGCATGGGTCGGGTTAAACAATAGGTGTATAATGTGGGTTACATAATAATGTATAATTATAAATGTGTTTAAAGGGGGGCATTATTAAATGTATTATTTTCCATTATGATCAAAGCTTATGGGTTAATTGAAATTGAGAGCACTGGGAAGAAAAGTTGTCTGTGTTAAAAAACATAAAAAAAAAAATTGGCAAATGGAGAAGGTATTTGAGGCATGAATGAGGTGGGTGGGGTGAGAGAGAGAGGGAGGGAGAGGGGTCGTAACCCCACACGTGACTCGACGCACCTGTGGGTCACAACCTATTTCGGCCGGATGGTCGCTGGAGTCCGTTCGCCGCTTGCACACACACACCTGAGTCTCCACACTCTGGGTCCGGCACACTCCTCAGGACCCTTGTACTGAATTATTCTCAGTTTAATAGAATTTCAGAGTGTTTTTTTTCAAGTTTTATGACAGTCACTTAACGGGAGAGTATGTGTATGTTGTACTCATCAATGTCTTCAACAAACACGTCGATTAATGTCCACTGGGATTTGTTGCGTGGGAAATATTGTTTTGAGGTGGTGGACAAGTTAGGGGGGACGAGGGGCGTAAAAGCGTCTTGAGAGGAGGTAGCGAGGAAGGCACTTGTGCCTGGCACCAGGTCAAGTTTGCTTATGATCCATGCGGGGGTGTAGGCTATTATCACCGCCACGGCCACCTCCCCGGCTCTCCCCAAGTCACTCCTTACCAACTTATCATTCGTTAACAATTCTCAATCTCTGAGTAACAGTTCTCCAGCAACAAGTTCAGTGTCTATTTACGATCCAAATAATACGTCTATAATAATATACAGTAAAAAGCAGCAATTGAAAATATAAGATAGGCTAATATTATTTTAATATTGGAATAGGACAAATGTTTGGCAGCAAGAACGAGGCACCGATGGGCACTCGACGCCAGCCGCGTATTGGAGGAGGGTGACACTGCCGCCCTGCGCTACGCTCCCATTGGCTGCCCCCCCCTACGCCCAAAAAACGCGCCCACAGGATCACACAAAACACACGTAACGTTTCACAACAGACACTCCCATCAGCTGCTGAGTGAAGGAGTGGGGTCTAAGACCTGAGAAAACTATGTATCCTTCTACGTCACCGCTGCGCTTTAAACCTACCCTAACCTCACATAATCTAACCTAACCTTACCCAACCTGACCTAGTTTATCCTAACCTAACTTAACCCAACCTGATCTAGTTTATCCTAACTTAATCTTACCCAAACTGACCTAGTTTATCCTAACCTAACTTAACCCAACCTGACCTAGTTTATCCTAACCTAACCTAGCTCAAATAAGAAATAACATTTAATATATATATATATATATATATATATATATATATATATATATATATATATATATATATATATATATATATATGGTGTGGCAGAGGTGTGTGACGTCACTATGACGTCGCAATGTTTACGCGGATACAGGTTTTAGACCCCACTAGAGAGAGCTCAGCCACCCGCCCTCTGCCACACTGCAGTAAACCATTTCCAATTTCAAATTGAGGAAATGAATGTATGTACGCGCGTGGGTATAAGTGTGATATATAGTTACCTGAGAGTGTTAGCGGGAGCCAGCTCCACCTCCTGGGCTCCGCCTTCTGACACTATTGGTTCTCTGATATATATATATATATATATATATATATATATATATATGTCGTACCTAGTAGCCAGAACGCACTTCTCAGCCTACTATTCAAGGCCCGATTTGCCTAATAAGCCAAGTTTTCATGAATTAATTATTTTTCGACTACCTAACCTACCTAACCTAACCTAACTTTTTCGGCTACCTAACCCAACCTAACCTATAGAGATAGGTTAGATTAGGTTAGGTAGGGCTGGTTAGGTTCGGTCACATATCTACATTAATTTTAACTCCAATAAAATAAAATTGACCTCATACATAAGGAAATGGGTAGCTTTATCATTTCATAAGAAAGAAATTAGAGGAAATATAATAATTCAGGAAAACTTGGCTTATTAGGCAAATCGGGCCTTGCATAGTAGGCTGAGAAGTGCGTTCTGGCTACTAGGTACGACATATATATATATATATATATATATATATATATATATATATATATATATATATATATATATATATATATATATATATATATATATATATATATGGCATTGGCTCATTACACGTGTCAATTGCTCGACTTACGAGACAGTTGTGGTGTAGCTCTTGGACATTTGCGCGTTAAAGGAGTATTGATATGTACATTAACTGTCTGACTACATTATCAGATTATACCTTGTTTAGTTATATGAAGTTTGGGCTTCAGTTCCTAAGTGCATTGTTTGTCTCTGTTTCCTCTTTCACTGCCGCTCACAGGATGGGGAATTGGTTCCACTACCGCCCACAGGATGGGTATGGGATCCACTATTACCCACAGGATGGGTATGGGGTCCACTACCGCTCACAGGATGGGTATGGGGTCCACTATTACCCACAGGATGGGTATGGGGTCCACTACCGCTCACAGGATGAGTATGGGGTCCACTACCGCTCACAGGATGGGCATGAGGTCCACTACCGCCCACAGGATGGGTATGGGGGTCCACTACCGCCCACAGGATGGGTATGGGGTCCACTACCGCCCACAGGATGGGTATGGGGTCCACTACCGGCCACAGGAGAGGTATGGGGGGTCCATTACCACCCACAGGATGGGTATGGGATCCACTACCGGCCACAGGAGAGGTATGGGGTCCATTACCACCCACAGGATGGGTATGGGGTCCACTACCGCCCACAGGATAGGTAAGGGGTCCAATCTGAATCAAGACTCCACCAAGGCAGTCTACACAACATCTGTCACACCAGTACCGGAATATGCAGAACCCTCATGGAGTCCGCACTTTGTGAAGCATAAACCCAAACCTGAAAAATTCGAAAGATTTGCAACAAGCTTGGTGTCAAGAGCTAAGAGGACTAAGCTAGGAAAAATAGGTTAATGACACTAAATCTCACAACCCAAAAGGGTAGCAGGAACAGAGGTGACATGATCAC